TGGAATACAAACGCTCAGAGGAACATAACGAGAGATAAAAATGAAAGCAATTGCTCTGAAATATTGAAAGCGGAGTTTTTTGTTTAACCTGTAATATGATTCATAATTTCGATTGTGTGGTAATATGTCCGCAATTTTTTGTAGAATTCTTTAAACGTAAATAATAAAAAAGACATAAGGAAAACAGTTCAAAATATTTTCGAGAGGGACTAATTTTGCCTCATCTGATTTTCGGTCCATGTATTCGTTATTTTGCTATTTTTTGTTAATTTTCTGTATGTAATTAACTAATATGGCGACTTTTGATACCATTGGTACGATATTACGAATTGAACCAAGGAAAACATAACTTTTTATTACTTTTCCACATGAATTAATTGCCAAGTTGCTGAATTCCTATAGGGATCAATTGAGGAAATACGCGATTAATTTCTGTTGCAAAGTAATAAAATTTTCTTTCAGTCATACCTATTGCTAATTTAGTTTAATAGTACAAAAATCAAACAATTTCTGTCATCCTTTTTTCAGAGTTACAGAAATATAAAAAAAACAGTTATTCACAGTTAGGGACTTTAAATAATACAGTTGAATGGGTAAAAATCAGAACGGCATAATTGGCATAAACATTTTCCTCAAAATTTATAAAATGTCACATACCATTCTTGTTTCCACCCATTCAGTCAATCTGTTTTCCCTTCGTACCTCATTATCTATTGTTGTATGAGAAGTAGAAGTCTTTTCGCTGCTACGCGTTTGTACTATGTAAATCATTAACTATTTAATATTGCTCTTCAGTTTTTTTAAACATACTGAAATGTTCTTTAAAATTCTAAAAATATCTATGAAATTTTTGTTTCGATTCTCTAACACGATATTTTCCTTTACCACAAAAAATTATTTAAATCGTTTTCTTGACAAGTAGTGCTCTTCATGGTTACTCTTCATTCAATCCCGAAATTGAGTTTTTTTTAGAAAAAGAATATCGTCACCTTTCTTTTAACTGTACATTGGTATTTTACGAATATCTATATAATTCAAAGTCGTACACTAATCATCTTTGTCGAATCTCAACATTTTAGAGAAAAACATTATTATTATTCTACTTTAGAAGAGTAGTTAAGGAAATAATAATTTCATTTTAAACTGAAATTTTATTCATCCCAGAAATGATCGCCATAAGGAAGCAGAATGTAATAAAACAATAAAACTACTTCATTTTTCATGAGTAGTTTTATTTCTAGTGCTATGTAACCGTGAAATAGTTCAATATTATTGGAAACACTTTTTATTCAATTTCTAAAACTTTAAAATAATTAATATCACCTAAAGTTGACCTTATTAAAAAATTACTCTAGTTTCTTAATTTTATCTGCACAGCATCTTACTTGAAGACTTAATTAAAATAAAGGAGAGCATTTCCATTCTATTAAAATTTCAAGAACATTAACCAATTTGAGGAAAAGTGACCATTATGATTTTGTTTACATTATATTTTTTTACATTATAAATTCGTGTAAGTTCTATTGAGCCGTGTAGCTTTATTTCTTAAGAAAGATTTCGGTACCTTCCAGTAGAGCGCGGGCACGGGCATCTTACGCTGGGCGCCTTGGGCGAAAAGGAAGAGAGGGGTGCGATTCCCCTGCGCATCGGGCAGTGACGTCAGACCGCACACCCCCGTCACTACCAGCAAGTCTCCGCGCTCCGCCGCCAGGCTGCGCGCTGCGCGCTCCACCCACGCCCACGCACCCACGTTGACACTCCGCCATTGCGGCGCCGCGTTCTCTGCAACACACACAGAACATGGTCTCAGTCACGTGAGGTACACCACATAAAGGAGCTTAATCACCATCCTACATAGCGGTGACGCGTTCACTGCAACACACACCTACACTGGTACATCTCTCAATCAGTCACACGAGGTACACGTCATAAGGAACTTAATCACAATCCTACATAGCGATGACGTAATCACTGCAACACACACAGGCACATAAAGTTCATTGCCTTACTTAGTCACATGGGGTATTTATTTATTCATTTATTTATTTACGTGAAAAACAGTTTAAAACTGTGTGTGATGAGGTATGGGGAGAAGTTAATTTGAGGTTACATTTATGCCCAGAAGCAAAACAAGGGGCCATAACAGCATTTGCTCGAGGATCAGGGAAACTGGACGAAAACCTGATCTAGATGGGGGTCATTGACTCAGAAGTTGAAGTACAATACTTGTTACAGGTTCTTTACAAATCTACAATCCAAATGGTATAGAATACATTAAATGTCATCGTTAAAATTAATATTACTTTCCTATTGAATGCTCTAATTGCATAGAAACAATTCATAAAGACGTTTAGTCACCATACACCACTGCGGCGCCGTTTTCACTGCTACACAGTCAGATCATACTCTCTCTCAGCCACATGAGGTATTCCTCGTGAAGAAAAATAGATATCTCCGTATGCGAGCGCAGCGTCGCGAGTACTGCAACTCACTCGCGTGTCATTCAGTCAGCCAGACACAGTAGGTGCTTACTCAACATCTACGTCACCATTTCTGCAACACGTAGGCACGCACGCACGCGCGCGCGCACGCACACACACACACAAACACACGCACACAAACACACACGCACACACACTATCCCCACTCAGTCACTTGTGATACACTTCCGTATAAAGGTACGAAACGTATTAAGACCAATCGCCAATCAGAAAAAACACTAATCGTGTGCAAGATCCTAATTTCTTACTCTATCACTAAATTTAATAGATATTAAGATTACAAACTGATTATACATAACGATCATGCATTCCAGACTTACTAGGGCTCGATGGTACAGATATCAAGAAATATTAAAACATATTGTAAAATATTGCTAGAAAAGCTACTATTGACTTGAAGAATTGTGAAAAGTCTGCTTCCATTTAGAAACAAACGGTATATGTAATGATTTCTATCAGTTTACTCCAACTACTCGAATAATTAAAAAGTGGACACTTATCGAGCTCTTTCCGAAAAATAAACGCAGCTCCGCCATCCGCTGTGGTAAACTCACCGTAGAACACTGTGGCAGCTTCGGCTGCCCGGGCAGGGCCAGCGTCGGGGGTGAGAGGTTCAGAGACAAGTGGGTCAGAGTCCAGGAGTTGCTGGTGACGCTCCAGCGTCTTGCGCTGCGTCTCGTATTGGTGCGCAGGGTCTACGCTGCCGAAGAGCCGCCCGGCGCGGAAATCAAGGCGACTTCTCCCCGACCACGTGCGTGCCGTGCTTTTGACCTGCAGTGAGACAGAAACGGAGTGGAGTGAAACCTGTCTTAAGCGATCGCAGCAGGTCGTCGAAGCAATTAAATTAACCGTTTTGCATGATTACTTGCGCAAGCGTGTAGTTGGAGTAGATGGGCGAGGGCACTTGGTTATCAAAGCAATTAATAAACGTATTTAAGACGTACTTACAAGTATGTAATTGGAGTAGATGCCCGAGAGCCGCTGGTCGCCGAGGCAATTAAATGAAGTTTTGCAGGAGTATTTACTAGCGTGTAGTTCAAGTAGATGGGCGAGGGTCCATGGTCGTCGAAGCAATTAATAAACTTCTTTCAGGATTACTTACAAGCGTGTAGTTGGAGTAGATGGTCGAGAGTCGCTGGTCGCCGAGGCAATTAATGAACC